CCTTTCCTTTGAGAATACTTCATAAATCAACATGTGGCTTAGTTCTTTGATGCTTACAATCATCCTTCTTGCATTTTCACCTACTTAACCCAAGAAAATCCATTGGCATATTTAGTTCTTTGCATTATTTTTTAATAGATTTTTTCAGTTGATTAAAATTCAGCCCTTTTTTTCAGGTAAAAAAAAAATCAGTATGATAGATTAACCACTGATTTTTGGTTTTGTTTAAAAGAACAGCAAGAAAAGAGGGTTTGTGGTCAAGTAAAATTATTTTTGCTGAATTGCTTAACGTATTACTGCTGTTTCATTTACAGAAAACAATACCGTTATTTTGCATGAACTTTTTCCGTCCTCATTCTCAAATTTAAAGCCACTCTGCCATCAATGATGTATGTATAAAAGTTGCCTTATAACAGGGAAAAAAAAACATTCAGTCATAATATAAAACAATTTTAACTTGGATTGATTAATTGTACTGTTATATCCAAATGAGCAAAAGCAAGTTTTGGGTCCATTCTGTCAGTCCTTAATCAAAGAAGCATGGATAAAATAAGAGAAGTTTTTCCATAACTATTTTATTCTCTGTTTATTGCTTAATGAATGTTTGAGGGTATTTCTGGGTTTTTTTTGTTTTTTTTTTTAAGGATATGCTGAAATGAATTGCATGTGTATTTCTACAGGGAGAATATAACTTGAAGACTGAGTTATTGCACTTAAACTTGGCTGAAAGTGCAGTATGTTGATCTCTACATAAGTTTGTTCAGGAAGGTGTGATCTTAAGTTGTGAATCCAAATCAAAACAGCAACTACTTGATTTTTAGTCTTTTTATTTAAATTTCAGAAGCAGGGATATTTTGCATACGAAAATGAATAAGAAAGAAATATCATCCATCTCTTTAGCATTTATCTGTTCCTTACTGTCTTATTCATTTTTTTGTGGCTAAAATTAAAAATTAGGTTGAATCTTTTGAGAAGTGTTTTTGACAATATAATATTTTTTATACTTTGTTTTATCATTCTGAACAGTATTTGCTTGTTTGTAGTGAAAAGAAAATGTTCTGTTTGAAGTTTTACAGTGCAGACTAAAAATTTTTAAACAAATATCTGAAAGCACATACTTTTATAGTTGCTAGCTTACTCTTATTGGATTGTAAAATATGGAAAACTACTGTTTCATGTAGACAAAAATTTCTCAGGCAAATTTGAAAGGACTAGGCAATATTTCTTGAATTGCTTGATTTTACTGATGTTATCAGATAAATATAACAGGAAAAAGAAATCTTAGGTTGCCTGAGACTGAGGAATTTCATAGTTGAATGAGTGTTTAGATATGACTAAATAGGATTCTTAAGAGAATGAACCTGAAGTGATTTATTTTTTTAGTTTACTCAAGAGATCTAGAGACTATGCATTACTGATATTGATTGCTGCTTGACTTAGTAATAGAACTGATTATGTCCTGTTTCACTTTCTGTCTGCTTTTCAAAACTGGAAAAGATCATTGCCATTTGTAGTAGCTTGAGATTAGATCACCCCAGCTGAATAAATGTAGCTGGGTCAGAACAAATTACCAAATGTGTTCACCTCTTCAGGATGAGTGGCTACATGAACTGCACTGTAATTTTCTTTTATTTTTTGCATTGTGAGCAAAAACTAGTAGACATTGTGAGCACAACTACTAGTAAAATGAAGGCAATATGAGTTTGGCATGATAACAATGTTATTGCTAATGATTTTTACATCTTCACAAATTGAATTAAATTGAAAAAAAAAGACAATGCCAGCAATTCCAGTAGTATGAAACCAGAACATTCTGACTGGATATATGTGCAATTCTTGGCCCTTCCAAGTTTGTAGTAATTTTAATAAAAATTCTGATTTGCATATAATTGACCCACCCAGAGAGAAGTGACAATAATAATTCCTAAAGTCCAGCGTATGCCTGCTGGTGTTTCCTTTTTCTTACAACTGACTTGATATTTGTTCTGTAGTCTGTTGGTTTTTGGAGTAACAATCCATTACAAAGTTCATCCAGCAAGAGTTTTCTTCCTTCTCTAAGATGTATCAATAGCAAAAAGCTTCTTTTAAGGAATCTATACATTGCCAGACAATACTGTGAGTATGCTCTGAAAAGTAATAAACAAACATACCCACACCCATGCCCCCATTATTCTCTTCCCATTGCAGGAAGGACTTATGCTATTTTATTTTTTTTCAATTATTTTTTTTTAAATTTTATTTTTTGGAACTCTTCCATGACACAGATAATCTATTGTCTTTGTTCCATAAGTGATTTTTATATTCAGTTTTCTTATCAAGCTCTTTCAGAAACATTTTTTAATATTTTGTGAGCAACTATATTATGTATATATATATATATAGCTTGATAGCAATAGTTTTTAAACAGACTTATATACTGAAGAAACCCATATATAATATTTAAATAATTTCAGTAAATACCCTACTTTTTCTGAGGAAAATGGGTTAATTTTGCAGGTGTCTGATCCCAAACGGATTAAAACTGAACTCTAGATTTTATTAGAAATCTCATTGAAGGACAGATCACAGTTTTCCACTGAAACAGCTTTCATTTGCTTTTCAGCAGCGAGTGGCGAGGATTTTGAATGCCTCATCTTTCTCTATAATCCTGTGATAATTGCATCCATTTAGTCTACCATGTAAGGCACCCATGCATTTTAATCTTTTGTTTACAGATACCTAGTACTTCTCATGCTTTCCTGTTGAATGCTAATGGAGAGTGCAGGTCTTAACCTATTCAGGATAAATAAGCAGTTAAGTAAGAGCTTTGAAAATGATAGCCTCACTAAACTATATAATGAATTGATCAAGTGTCATTTTTACACATAATTCTGAGAGATTGCTTCCAAATGTTTAATTTCCAGAGACAGACATTTATGAATATGCATTAATTAAAGTGATAGAGTATGAGTGCATTTCTGCATTTTGTCATTGTTTGGTGGTTTACATTGCCATTAATTGAAAAAATATGTCCAGCCTGCATAATGAAGTTCTCTAATACCCTTACAGAACAATTCATGGAAATTTGGCATCTCTTAACTGATGGCTGTGTAAAGACAGAACCGGGTAGATGAAGAACAGCTGACATTTTTTCTTGGAAATATATATTTATGAAAATATACAATTAAGTTAACTTACTGGTGGACATGAGAAAATCATTAGGGAATGACAAAAAAAGTGAGATTGTTCAAAAGGATGTGCAGTAGATCTAAAGTCCTGCTTCACCTGACTAGGAGTGACTTCTGTGATAGGCTCAGACTCATACCAGATGTGAAGCTATAACCTACACAAACTTGAGAAATTTAAGAGCCATTTTTCCAGATGGGTGGCACTACTTTTCCCCCATTCTTTTCCCAGAAATATGCATTAGGAAATTGCAGCCTAGAAAAACAACAGCAGTAACAAAAATTAAATACTTTTTATAGGGAAAAAACCCCCAAACTTCAGCATGATAATAAAAAAATCCAGCCTTTATATTTGTGTTTTGCAGTAGGTTTATCCCTATTGATTCCTTCCATTTTCTGAGAGGGGATGTTGTGTCTTCTGTGACTTTAGAAAGCTGAAAGCAAGTAGGATCATGTTCTTTCTTACACACAACATAGACTACATAATGGGCAAAATACATAAGTGAAGTACACTTTTTCTCTGCTCTTTTTGATTTTCTTCTTATCAAGTATTGTTTAACTTCCATTTAGATAGGTTCCATACTTTACAAAATTTAAAAATTAGACAAAGGAAAATAGTTCCATCAACCAAAAAGCGTAAAAGAAAATGAAAAAGAAAAAAAGTTGAGATTCTAACTCAATGAGTCAGAGACAGGGCTCTCCTATAAATTCTTAACAGTCAGTGTTGCATGAAGGGAGGGAAGTTCTTATGTAGCTGACAGAATTCAAGAAGGCAGTTCAGCCTGCAAGTAACTCATTCTATTTCTGACAACTACACCTAGCATCCCTGCGAGCCACCAAACAATAGTACACAACCTTCTTACGCCTTTCATTTGAACTCTAGGCAAGAGATCAAGAGCAAAGAAGCAAATAATAAGAGATCAGATTATTTATTGCCTGAATTAGTAGTTTGTTATGAAATAAATATAAATATGGCTTCTTGGAAGATGTTTTGCATTTGTATTCAAATACATAAAACAATTTAAAATATAGAAAAAACGTATTTGTTGTGCAATATGTGCCAAAACTCCATACTCAAACTTCTATAAAAGCAGTATTTTGCTCTGCTGTACTGCCATATCCAAAGAAAACTATTTTTAATTTCTAGAACTTTGCATTTTCATCCATTTTCATATGGATTATTTAATATGGATTATTTTCATATTTTCATATCTAGTACTCATAGAACTGAGGTACAGAGTCAAATTACAAAACTGTGCTTGAGAAGAGAGTGTAGAATTTTTGATAACTTACTTTGTTGCTTGAAGCATATTCCTTTTCTGAGTCTATTTAAAAATTCATTTAGGTTTTCTTTCTGCTTAATTCCAGTTTACACTTTTAATTATAATTGTAGTTTAGATTTGTTTATATTAATAGATTTTCCTGTTCAACTTTGAATAAGAATCACTGTGTTCATGTCATGTAGCAAAAAATTAATTTTCAGCTGAAGTATAGGAGCTTTAAAATGGGGTTTAGATTTTGAGACAATATATACTGGTTTTGTTATAATGGAATTAAAATTGTGCGCTGGATATTTGTAGAGTTATTAATCTGAACCAGTTTAGGAAACATTTGCCCAGGTAGCAACTAAAGTGCATTTCTGGCAGCTAGTAGTTTTTGTTCATATGCAATCTATATTTGTACTTTTATATCTACATATGTGTTTATATGTAGGTGATGTGTGTGTGTGATTTGTATTCAAGTATCGTGAGTTTTTACAATCCTACTGTCAGATGGCTTTTTCTAGAGGCCTCAAGGATTGTGATTTTTTCCCCACAGGTGTGGTGGTGGTTAAGTCTGAATATTCTGTACACATGGCACCTGATCTAAAACCTAAGGAGGACAGAGAATTTTACAGGGTCAACTTACAATTTCCTTGCTGCCATTGTAATTTACATGGACAGAGAAGATCCTCTGGGATCTCTTGCCAGTGTTAAGATGACTACTATTACTGTTCTCATGGTAAGCATTGTACAGGGAGTGATTGAAGCCAGGCTCTGTGGATTGAAGCTATCTTCCATTGACCTCAAAACATTTGGTAAATTAACCTCAAAATCAGTCCTCGTGTTTCTTCAAAAAGAAGTGCCTTATATATTTTTAAGAATCACTTTTACTCTTTGAAATGCATTTTAAGAGCTTAAGTGGATGCGAATATCTATCTCCCTACTCCTATCTCCCTGTTCCCAATTGTCAGTGAAATATCCCTCTCTTCTTCTTTCTTATTTCTCCATTAAGGCATGATATTCTCTATAGGGCTCTTAGGCAAATAATTTCCTATATAACCTATAAATCTATGCTTATTGTTGCAGTACATCAGAGCCATCCAATTGTCCTTAGTATTTATTTTACTAAGAGTAGCTGTCAGGCATTGACTTTGAAGGTTTCATCCCTTAACATCATTTGTTCAAAACCCCAGGAGACAATTAGTGATGAATAAAGCTGAAAATAATTTGAGATTCAGCTTAGCAGTTCAAATATTCACTGAATCCATATGGTCTTTTCTTTCTACACTCTTAGAAGCACATTTAGAATTATATCACATCATGTAGTGTTTTATCATTTTATTTTTTGATTAAAAAAAAAAGTTAGGGAATTCTGTTAAAATAAAATAGACCAGAAAATTTTCAATGTAAATTGGTGAAATGTACTCAAAGTAGAATACTGGGGAGAAATGTCATTGTTAGGGATAGAGTCAAGCTTTTGACTTGGTGGAACTAGCTATTATATTTCTACATATGGCTGGAAAGCAACCAATTGCCATATCAGGAATAGAAAGCTTGGATTATTTTATCCCCAAAGTATATAATAATGTAAAAATATTATTTGGTACAAAATATCATATCACCCTACACTGAAACCTACTTTTCTGGGGGTAAAATATATGACTCAAATTATAATAATTTTCATGGACACAGCATCCCCCAATAGCCTCCAAGTGTTCAGTAAATTACCTACATAAAGAGGTACTTTGTATGTATAAATGGTATCTTAATAAAGACTGATGAAACACGAGTGTGAGTAACTGCTACCATTCTGTTCAGTCATTACTGTTCAGCATATTTAGTGCACGCATCAATTATAAAATGACTGATTCTTAAGAATGAAATTTAAATTAATATTAAAAATCATGACTTATTTATTAATATTTGTTTTAAAGAGGATTAGACTGGTTTTTATACTGTAAATCTGTCACCTGGTATATGAAGGTATGCAATTTTGAAATGGAAGAATGCCTGATTTTTTTTTTTTTATTTACTGAATTTTCATGTTATAGCTAAATCTTTTGCCCCAAATAAATCTACCCTTACTGCTACAATAAAATAATAATGCTCATTACTGTGACATTCATGTCTCAGTTGTACTTATCTTTTGAACAGTGAGCTTAAAAGGATTCTGTAAGCATTAGAAAGATAAAATAATACCCTTTTTGTGTGTCTGAAACAGCTTGCTTTTTAAAAAGAGCTCACTTTCTTAATTACAGAAAAATACCTGATTTATAATTCAGTCTTAGTGGAGTATCAGTTTATATAGTAAAGAAATTGACCATAATTATTGGAAATTTTATATCAGGAAGGAAAGAAGGAAAGGATGCTCAAGAAATGTTGGAGAGATTGCTAATATAACAGTCTTATAGTTGTAAGATGATTTCTTAAATCATAAGAATATTCTAACTTGCTTTGGGATTTTCATTGCTTAATACACACCACCAAGAAAACCTGAATGGACAAAACCAATCCAAAACATGGATTTAGATAGGTTCCATACTATGTCTTTTGAAGCAAAGACATAGTATTAGCTGGCTTAGAAGATTATAGTGTGTGAAAAAAGTAAAAAGCATCGTTTTTTAAGAAATAGGTCTACAGATACTGCAGTCTGTTTTCCTATTGGTATAGCAGTGAATAGCCAGGTGCTTCCCTGCAGCTACACGACAGGCAAAATCTCTTTGCATGTGGTAATTAGTTTACAGCACCCTATAGGCCAGAGCCCAGCAGGAATTATTTGCAAGCAAGTACAATATAAACAAAAAGATAGTTCTTGTTGTAAAGTAGCTGACTTGCTTCATTGATCATCAATCAGTTTTTTCTGATGGGAAATGTTTCTCTTATTTTAGAGATGGCATATGGATGGAAAGCTAAATTAGAAGAGGTCGTAAGAAAGCTATCTTGTTTCAGGTTGTGATTGTTTCTTGAGATAAGTGATAAACTTGGTGAATTTGGGCTATTCTAAACACAAAATGAAAATAGCACAAGTTTATTTCAATATAATGGATTGAACAAAGCAAACAAAATTTTATGCTTGTAAAAGAAATATAAAAAAGAAACAAGTTTAAATACCTTTCATGATTTTTCATAAATCTCTGAGGTATTTAGAGAATTTTTGTGTTTCTTATTAAGTACACTTTGAATGAACCTAGATTCAGACAGAATATCTTTATTTGGTATCTATGCTGTATCAGCACCTTATCTATTTTGCATATATGCACTGTATTCAATGCACAGAGCATTCCATGCTCACAGCAAGAAGAATAACTCTCCCCAGATATTAAAAGAAGATCATAAAAATACCACAGTCTGAAAATACAATTAGCAAAAAGGTAAAAGAACTACTGATATCAATGGCAAAATTCACATCATGTATTCCAGACCATACTAAGGATAATGGCATACAATTACACTTGTTTTTTTTTTTTAATGTTTGCTTGTTTCTTAAGTTATCCTTTACAGCCAATACTATACAATTCACAATATAATTATGAATATTCTTAAATTATCCTTATGACACAATATTATGTGTTAGCTTAAATTCAGAAGATAACTTGAACAGATGGATTTGATCTTACAGTCAGTTGGACAGACAAAAGGAGGATATACAAATGACTGTAGTGGCTTGCCTGGCATTAAGAAATGATGACTTAATTTTGTTTGATTTGGGTCTGTATTCTTAATTTCACATCTGGAAACAAACTCACTGTACAGCTGATAAACAAAAACCAAGTCAGATAGTCCAGAGGTATACTGGGCAAGTATGCTTGACATTACAATAATTACTACTCAAAATGGAAAAATAGAGTTTCAGGACCCGTAGTGACTACTAGACTGCGTGCCATGCACTCTTGCAACACAGCCCATTTAGCCTAAGTAAAAGCTACCTTGGGATGTTTAGTATCTGCTTGCTGTGCCACAGATTGAAATACTGTATTTTATTGCCTGCTTACCTTCTACAAAATCATTATCTTGCTTTAAAATTCTTAGTAGAAACGTGGTTGTGAGTTAGAGGTTACTGAAAATAAACCAAATTCAAAATAAAAAAATAAAAAATATATAGGATAAATAGTCTTAAGCAAGAACTAATTTTGACTTTGTGACTATGTATTTAGTAGGCATTAAAGGTTAGTGCTGGAAATGCTTTGAAATGCTAAAAGACAGAAAGAAGAAAGGACTGCTTTAATTCAAATTGCTGACAGATATATTTAGTTTATTGGATAGTCTGTGAACAAGCTTAATGTTTATTACTGAGACCATACTTGTTAACTTTATAAACTCAGTGATACAAACCTGGAGTGTTTTCATCATAAATATGGTTTTTATCTTGCACATGACCTGTTTTGCTCAAAACAGAACACTGCTCCTGAGAGATTAGTTTCTATGTAGATAAATATTAACAATAATTGTCTGGTTGAATGAGCAATTAGCTTTAATTTTCCCCCTCAGACACACATAATAAAAATTTAGCTTTTCATGTATAAAATTGCAAAAAAATTTCTTAGTAAATTAAAATTTCTACAATAATATTTTTACATGTGCTAAGCAATACATATTCTTATATTTATTCAGATACTAAGAAATATATATTTCTATACAATAACTAATTATTGTATGTTCCTGATTTCTAAGATGCCTGCCTTAAGATGCATAAAAATCCTATATTAGAAACCTTAATAATATTGCTTGATCCTTTGGAAACATTTCATATCAAGCTTCTGGAAAATGAGAACTGTAAATCTTTTAATATTTTAGAGGTCAAACATGTCAGAGAGGCCAGGCTTTTAGAGTTTTCTTGGCTATGTCTGTTCCATGACAAAGCCCAGAATTACAGCTTATGCTTAAAACTAGAATATGCACATATTGTCTATATTCTAGATCCTCGTACACAATGACAATATGTATATTAACTCCTTCAGAAAATCTGAGTAGCAACTTTTAGTCCAACTAGAGCAGTACTAGCAAAATCTGCTCACCTACGTCTTGTCCTCTTGTGTAAATGTATTTCTCCTACAAAATATGTCATCCACATGAATCCTCCACACTGAAAGCAGGGGGGAGCTTTGAAGATTTCCCAAGGCTGTGTCCAAGTCAAGTTTTTGAGATCTCCAAAGATGGAAATGGCATAACTTCTCTGTAATGTGTTTCAGTTTTTAAACACTCTCATGGTGAAAAACTCTTCTGTCCAGAGAGAACTCCTTTTTCTGCCTTTTGTCTTTTCTCTGTACATCTCCAGGAAAGATGTGAGTCCATCCACTCTTCAGATAGATGACCACAGAAAGTAGATATTGCCCTATTATTACTCTATAGACCTCTCATTCTGCTGGACTCTCAGATATTTATGCCATAGGTGGCCCAGAACTGAACACAGTACTCCACATGTAGCCTCTTTGTCCAATGGGCAGGAACAATCACTTCTCTTGACACTCAGGCTGAAAGTTGCTGAGGTGTATATTCCATTCCACTATCCAGGTTGCTAATGAAGCATTTTGTCAGCTTTAGCTCCTACATCAACCCAATGAGAAATACTGTCCATTACTGGCTGACAGCTAAATTTTGAAGTATTTCCACTCTTCTCCAAGAATGGAAATACAGCAAATTTTTTCTTCACCTTGCAATCTACTGGTGTCCAGGCATTACCTTCCTAATTTGGCCACAGAGTTACTATAGGACACTCAGATAAACAGATATTAAAATCAAGTTCGTGTCTCCTGCTCTTTCTTTAACCACAGAATTAATCTTTTTATCACTGAAAATACTTGAGCTGCTTAGATATGATTGTCTTTGTAAACCTCATTTTGCTGTTCTGAAACACCTTGGTCTTTTCTATTTGGTTTCAAGGAGTATTTTCCTCATTATCTTCCCAGAGTCTGAGGTGGGATTTACTGGTCGTAATTCTATGGTTGTTCCTCCCTGACATTCTTTGAAGATAGATTTGTCATTTTCCTTTTCTAGACATCAAGAATTTTCTTTGAATGTGGCCTGATGAGGAGATTTTGTCTCTTTGAAAGTTTGTCTCTCCAAACTTTCTCTATCCATTTACTGAAACTAACTTTAGAATGAGTCACTGTGTTCTTTTTTGAGGTATTCATGAATATTATATGCCTATCTTTTGACTGTTCAATAATAGCCATTGTTTGTAAAGGAAACAATGAATAGAGAAGAGTTTTGCTGGTTTAAGTATGGGTTTCTTTACTACGAAAAATGGATAAACTTTTTAAGTTATTATGAATTGCATCAGGTATAGGAACAGTTTCTCTTAGATGGATGCTACTTTTAAAGATAGAATGAACACTGAATTAATTAGGATTGTCCTGTTTATCTGCTTCAATCAAATTTTTGTGTGAGATAAATCAGTTAGGTGTGCACAACTGTATCCCATATCCTTTGAGATTTTTCCCTTTCTTGTATCTACTGACTGTTGTGCTTACAGTCTATATTCAAAATTTTGGTTTCCCTTGCCCATTTTCTTTCTTTTTCAAGTTAATTCTACTTTTCATCAAATGGTTCTCTTGTTTGTTTATTTATTTATGCATCATTGTGCAAATTTCTGTAGCTTGGGAAACTGCAGACTTATCTCTGTGGTTGGTCTAATCCAAATGCTTTGGATTCCTTTAAGCATACAACAGCATCCTTACAAATTCTGGTACGCAAGTTGCATAGAGACATTGGTTTCTGGGGTTTTGTGGTCTAAAGACTGCTAGTTATCAGGTAACTTTAACAGCTGGAATTCATTCAAGTGTGGTCAGAACTGCTTTTAAATTGTACTCATAACTTCTGGTTTCATATTGAATATCTGACTTTTTTTTACAATGTTGGTAATTTGTTTATTATTTCCATGAGATATAATGGTGAGAATGCAAAGTATTTTCAATTGTTTTCCTGTTATACAGTATACTAAAAACCAATATCCATTTATGCTAAAACAGTTGGAGCACTACAGCTCAGTGAATTATTTACTCAGTTTGATTGGGGATACAGAGTGATAATATCAGCAGGAGCAATAAAGATATAGCTAGGAAATTCAACATCCTCATTTTCTTTT